TGTCTCTATGTCAGTGGACGCTGGCCCTTGACCACTGTCTCTGTGTCAGGGGACGCTGGCGCTAGACCACTATCTCCATGTCAGGGGACGCTGGCCCTAGACCACTGTCTCCACGTCAGGGGACGCTGGCCCTAGACCACTGTCTCCACGTCAGAGGACGCTGGCCCTAGACCACTATCTCCATGTCAGGGGACGCTGGCCCTAGACCACTGTCTCCATGTTAGGGGACGCTGGCCCTAGACCACTGTCTCCATGTCAGGAGACGCTGGCCCTAAACCACTCTCTCCATGTCAGGGGACGCTGGCCCTAGACCACTATCTCCATGTTCGGGGACGCTGGCCCTAGACCACTGTCTCCACGTCAGGGGACGCTGGCCCTAGACCACTATCTCCATGTTAGGGGACGCCAACCTGCCAGGGTGCGTGCTGGTGTGTCAGAGGCTGTGCCTGCGTGGTGGTATGTTATGGGGCTGTGCCTGCGTGGTGGTATGTTAGGGGGCTGTGCCTGCGTGGTGGTATGTTAGGGGGCTGGCCCTAGACCACTGTCTCCATGTCAGTTGACGCTGGCCCTTGACCACTGTCTCTACGTCAGGGGACGCTGGCTCTAGACCACTATCTCCATGTCAGGGGACGCTGGCCCTAGACCACTGTCTCCACGTCAGGGGACGCTGGCCCTAGACCACTGTCTCCACGTCAGGGGACGCTGGCCCTAGACCACTATCTCCATGTCAGGGGACGCTTGCCCTAGACCACTATCTCCATGTTAGGGGACGCCAACCTGCCAGGGTGCGTGCTGGTGTGTCAGAGGCTGTGCCTGCATGGTGGTTTGTTAGGGGGCTGTGCCTGCGTGGTGGTATGTTAGGGGCTGTGCCTGCGTGGTGGTATGTTAGGGGGCTGTGCCTGCGTGGTGGTATGTTAGGGCACTGTGCCTGCGTGGTGGTATGTTAGGGGGCTGTGCCTGCGTGGTGACATGTTAGGGGGCTGTGCCTGCGTGGTGGTATGTTAGGGGCTGTGCCTGCGTGGTGGTATGTTATGGGGCTGTGCCTGCGTGGTGGTATGCTAGGGGACTGTGCCTGCGTGGTGACATGTTAGGTGACTGTGCCTGCGTGTTGGCATGTTAGGGGGCTGTGCCTGCGTGGTGGCATGTTCGGGGGCTGTGCCTGCGTGGTGACATGTTAGGGGGCTGTGCCTGCGTGGTGACATGTTAGGGGGCTGTGCCTGCGTGGTGGTATGTTAGGGGGCTGTGCCTGCGTGGTGGCATGTTAGGGGGCTGCGTCTGCATTTGTGTATCAGTCTCATGGGCTGCGAGGAAACAGGGGGGCTATGAAGTAATGATGCACACCCATGTTTACATTTTGTTTTAAAATTATGCAACAAATTTTGCTTTTTTAATTTTCTAAGTTCTAACAATTCGTAAGGGGTGTAAAACTTAGTCAAAAAGTTCGTAGAGTTTTGTTAGACTTAGTCAGACAATTTATAAGGGTATGAGACTTAGTAAGACAATTTATCGGTTTTGAGACTTAGTCAGACAATTTATAGGTTGTGAGACTTTGTCAGACAATTTATCGGTTGTGAGATTTAGTCAGACAATTTATAGATTGTGAGACTTAGTCAGATAATTTATCGGTTGTGAGACTTAGTCAGACAATAGGAAAGGCAGATAGTCATAGCAATACAGTGCCTGGTACTTTATATATAGATATCACGCCGTATGTATCCATGGCAACCCTTTCACGTATTTGATTGTGGCATTAGCAGCAGCAAATATAGGACTATCCGTGACTGGTGTCAAGTCTGTAGACAGTGAAAGCCCACTGGGCCACTCATGTCAAGTCTGTAGACAGTGAAAGCCCACTGGGCCACTGATGTCAAGTTTGTAGACAGTGAAAGCCCACTGGGCCACTGATGTCAAGTTTGTAGACAGTGAAAGCCCACTGGGCCACTGATGTCAAGTTTGTAGACAGTGAAAGCCCACTGGGTCACTTATGTCAAGTCTGTAGACAGTGAAAGCCCACTGGGTCACTTATGTCAAGTCTGTAGACAGAGAAAGCCCATTGGGCCACTTATGTCAAGTCTGTAGACAGTGAAAGCCCACTGGGCCACTTATGTCAAGTCTGTAGACAGTGAAAGCCCACTGGGCCACTTATGTCAAGTCTGTAGACAGTGAAAGCCCACTGGGCCACTTATGTCAAGTCTGTAGACAGTGAAAGCCCACTGGGCCACTTATGTCAAGTCTGTAGACAGTGAAAGCCCACTGGGCCACTTATGTCAAGTCTGTAGACAGTGAAAGCCCACTGGGCCACTTATGTCAAGTCTGTAGACAGTGAAAGCCCACTGGGCCACTTATGTCAAGTCTGTAGACAGTGAAAGCCCACTGGGCCACTTATGTCAAGTCTGTAGACAGTGAAAGCCCACTGGGCCACTGATGTCAAGTCTGTAGACAGTGAAAGCCCACTGGGCCACTTATGTCAAGTCTGTAGACAGGGAAAGCCCACTGGGCCACTGATGTCAAGTCTGTAGACAGTGAAAGCCCACTGGGCCACT